GAGTCAGATTATCAAATAATATTTCATAATTTTTTCCAGTTTAGAAAAAAATCATGTGACATGAAATTAAAGGAGCAGTTTTCCTGCACACATTTCTAGCCCTTTGACTTTGCACACGTTTTTGAACCACAATTTTTGTCACTTTGCAATGTTTGATCGTTCCCAAAGTGATAGCCAACAAAGACACTGAGGCAAAATTTATTGCGAATGGATGACATCATGATGACATCATCAGCTTATTTTGTATTGATTTTTGAATATTTAATTTTTCCCCATAGGTTTTGTACACGTTTTTCTACTTAACACTAGTGAACAAGTAGTCCTTTACTCTGGCTCAAGATTACCATGAAAACAAAAGAGAAATCGGGTACTTTACACCCTGTTATTCGGTTTGAAATGTACTGAAGAGTCTGATTATTAAGTAATAATAAAAATTATTCATTTTCAGCGCAAATCATGTGACATGAACTTAAAGGAGCAGTGTTTCTGCAACCGAGTTTATACATATTGCCCGTTGACTTTGTACAGGTTTTCTAGCCACAATTTTGGTATCTTTGTGATGTTTGATCCTTACCAAAGTGAAAGCAAACAAGGACACTGATGCAGGATTATTGCAAATGAATGACGAAATGATAGTATTGATTTTTAAACGTTTATATCGTCCCTTTGACTTTGTATTCATTTTCAAAACACTATTTTGGCAATTTTGCAAAGCTGAATTGTCACCAAAGTGTCAACAGCCCTTATCAAAAGATTGTAAAGTAATACTGACGTCAGATGGCATCATCGTGTGATTCATTATTGATTTTTAAATTCTTTGTACCATCCAATAGACTTTTTAAAAGTTTTGAAGGCACAATATTTGGTCTGTGAGCGAACTTCCAATGTCATCAAAGTTATACCATGCAAAGACCCCATAAAAATATTATAACAAAATAATGATGTAAGTATGACGTAAGAGCCCGAAACTGTCTTGTTTATAGGAAATGACTTGAATGTACGGAAAAAGCCCTCTGTTCTGTTACACAGACAGAGACCTCTAGTTTACTTTTCTTCTGCTTTTTCTTCTCCTCCATGTTCTTCAGCCTAAACCCCCTTTGTTTTGTACAGGGTTTTTCTGCACGCCACTCTAGTCCCTGTGCAAGTTCGTATCTCCATAAAAGTTTCCTCAAGCAAAGACCCTACGGCAAAGATGTGCAGCAAAGCATGATGTCATGATGACGTCATCACCAGATTTTTAATTGAATTTTGGATATATTGGATAATTTTCCACCCAATTGTTTTGTCCACGTTTTTTAACTGCCTGAATGGCATGGCCAAAGTCACTCCACAAAATTAAAATTGGTCTAAGCAAAGACCATAAAGCATAGATGGTTCTGGAAGAATGACTTCACTTTGACAACATGAATTGATTTATTTAATTTTGAAGATTTAATTTCTCCCGTTGACTTTGTACACATTTTGAAACCCATGCATACAAGTGCTGTTTTGCCTACGCGTTTGCGCATGTCCTTACTTTGTGCAATCAGCTGTTCTGTTTTCCAATACTGAACTTTGACTCTGTCTCAGGCTTCAACTGTTTTTTATTAGATAACTTTGAAGCTGTAAGCAAAGTAATCAGTCTAAGAGTGCCAAAGAACACCAAATTGAAAGCTAAAAATTACAGTAATCCACTGTAATGTAAACGCTTCAAGCCCATAGTCGGAGATTGTTTTGGGAACAAAGCCTGAGACGAAGACGAAGTCAGATATTGGAAAATGGCCGTAATCTGTGTGATCGTTGGATGCGTTGAAGTAACAGCGTTGTCACATAGACTTATTGCATGATATCTATTTACATGTACATATTATTTGGCTAGAAAGTTGTGAAAAATATTGTTGGAAATGAACTTGGAGATCTTATGTCAGGCCTTAACCAAATGTTTAAAGCATTTCGTCCATGCAGGTATTCACGTTTGCGCGGTCACATCCCAACACATCGGAAATATATTTTCGACATGCACATGTGTTTTCTCAGACTGTTGGGACCTCCCGGACCTGAAATTGCACCAGTTGAGAGCTTTATGGACTTTGCTTGATAAGAAGATTCCATGGTAATCCCACAAAAGCTGAACTAAAACCAAATTCATGCACCAGAGCAAGAAATTGCGGAAGGATTCGGAGTTGAGTGAGTTATTATGAGTATGGGTGTACCCAACGAGCGCTAGCGACTCATATGCAATCACATATATACATGTACAACGAGCGTTCACATGGTATAGTGCGCTGGGCAGCTGGGTTTGGAAGCTGGATGGATATGGATATTTTGTGTGTTTAGGTATCTTTCATGTTGGTGCTGGGGTGAAAGCTAGAGAAAAATCTGTTTTCAGGGCATTGGAATTCAGCGTCACTGCAGTTACATGTACATGGTGATATCAGAGACGTGGGCACCCACAATAATGGAAGCTGTTGTATTTATAACCAAGCAAAGAAATTAACAGGTAATGGCAAAAAGGCCTTCTGTTGCACTGACATACAGACAGACTGCCTGTTCTGGGACTGTTAGGGTTAATGAAGTCATGAAGCACAGTTTGTGTGTGGGGGTGCAGGTGTGAGTTTGTTCCTGCATTCAATTGGGGACCCTGAAAAATAGAGGACAATAAGGTCCCCGATTGACAGAGGGTCCCCGATTGACAAC